CATATTGCTTCAAAAAATATCAGACCAGTCAATACATAGCTATCTTTTTCAGCTGAACTTATTCATGCTCCTAATCTCTGACCTCCTCACTTCTGCTCTCTCGATCATACATATCCTTCTCGTTCTCTTCTAATTTTCTTTTTTCCCGAAACGTTATGGCTTTACAGCGTTCTGTGTTGTAGTAGAAGCTGCTAGGGCACAGCTTCACCAGTATGAACAGGTTACGGTCGTGTTCAAACCGTGGAGCGAATCTTCAACAGTATCATTGTTGATTATCTGTCTTATCTGTTCTTCTCGCTATTTTCTTCCTTAGCATTTATTCTTGTGGTTCTTTCTGAAAATACGGTCGTGTCACATAATAGAGTTTTCCCTAGTTATAGGGAGCCTATGCATGAGCTCATAAAGTCTGAGCGGGACTACATAGAAGATCTACGGAAATGTATACAGGTGAAGCAATTTTCTGAACAATATTTTTATCTTAGTTATTTTATTTTTGTGCAGTTTTGTATAGTAGAGCTACATGTGAACGGGAATTCGGGAGTTTTTCGTAGGTGTGGAGTCAAAAAATTACTGCAGGCTCAACAGCGTAACGGATTACTATTCAAAGTTTTTTTCGCTGTTTTCTTTAGTCATAAGACTTAGGTCAGTGGTGATTTTACAAAACATCACTGCTTGAAGTCACCGTCATTATCATTAGAGTAGTGATTCCATGTAGTTTACTGACATAATGCCAGATTCCCTGCTTTTTCTGAAGAGTGGGTGAGCTCAAGCTCGATGAGAGGGTGACCTCAAGCGGTGATGTTTTGTAGGATCGATAGAATATCTGAATCCATGTGAAAAGGACCAAACCTGAGAGTGAGTGGATTTGGGTGAACAGGCCTTCTCCCTGGCTGGGTCGTGGGTGGTTAAAAGCAAACAAGGATTTCTACACTCTCAGGATGGCATCGTTTTGCAGCGGAACTACATGGAAAGCTGTTGAATGTAGGGAGCGCTGCTTCTGGTCGTGATCACACTACGTTTTCATGTGCCTCTTCGAGGTCAAATGCGCATCCAGACCCTCAGCGATTTCCGTTGGAGGTTGAGTATGTGGTTTACGCTCAAACAGGAAGAATTCTGCTACTTTGTCCCCTCTTTTCGGTCCGCTTAAGATTCATTCTGGCACTTGAATGCCACCGATTATTGATGTCTTTTCCTGAATTTTCCGAGTAGTTTCTTCCGCAGGCTGCATTTGCTAGGATGCAGTCGATATCCGAAAGTTGGGGTAGGCGTATCACCGGAAGTGACGTGCACTTGATAGAAGTTGCGTGGATAAGCTGTTGCCAGCATGCTTTGCTGATATCCAGCGATGTATGTTTGGAAAGCAGCTGATCCATAGCTTCTGTCAAGTGCACGTCACTTCCGGTGACACCCCTACCCCAGCTCTCGGATAGAGCTCCACGCTACCGCAAGCGTTCTTCACTAAAGCTGATACACATCGAAATACCGTATCCGTTATAAGTGTGCCACGCCGGCTGGAGATAGCGGTGCCTAGTGCATCAAGATCCTAAAGATTGCAATAGAAGGTGAGAGAGAGAGAGAGTTACGCGGAAAGTATATAGACGAACGATTTGGTCGTTGCAACAGACTTCCATCAGAAGATATGAGGATCTTCTGACGTTTGAAATGGTGTCACATTATTGTTGTGCATTGATCTTAAATTGACAAATTTACAAATTTCTGGGTTTTTATACCTCATCTCTTTCCTTTTCCTATGTATAACCTCTCTCTGAGGTGTTTCTCAATTAAAGGAAGTTACAGGTATACATTGCTGAATTCGATTCTGCTGAGGCAAATTCAACACTCCCATCCATTTTGAAAGATCGTCGCCAAGCAATCTTCGGTAACTATGAAAAGCTGTACGCTTTCCACTCAGAGTAAGCTCTTCTTCCAATATTCTGAGTTTTTCTGATTTCTATGTTTTAGTTATAATTCTTCGTAGGAATGGTTCGTATTATATTTGTTTTAGAGAGATAGTAGCTAAGTAAAGGAATATTGTAGGAAGTTTTTCCATGAACTGTCCAAGTACGAAGATGATCCAGAGGAAGTTGGTTGTTCGTTCACAGTTTGGGTGGATTATCTCAATGAGCTTTACACCGACTATTGTGTGAATATGGAGCAAAACAACCATGTAGTCGCGTTACCTGAAGTGATGTCATTCTTTGAGGTATCGTCCTAAAAGCTTGTCGTTTGAAATGCTTCAAATCATTTTTTTAATAATCGGAATCGGCATAGATCAGCATTCCAACTTCTGCAGGACTTCGTTTTTGTCTATTTTAAAGTTTAATTTACTACTTTCTAGTCAATAAGAGAGAAACATGGATTGGAGCAGAATAATTCGCTGCACTCCATGCGAATCAAGCCAGTGCAGCGGTGCACGAGTAAGAGATATATCACATTGTAATGTTATGTTCTCCTCTCAAATCCTTGAATCCTGTTTTTTCTTCTGTGAAGAGGCGCCGCGCTCTTGGAATAGTTTTGTTCTGCAGTTCCCCATTTTTCGACAAGGCTTAGAGCTCTCTTGGCTCTAAGCTGTGTCCAGACATCGATTTGGCTGGATTTTGGATAGATGACTTCGGCTAAATTTATGGCCTTATTTTGCTTGTTTTGTTTATGGGGTGAGGTTTACCAAAATATTTCCAGGTATAAGTTATTGATGGAACAGCTACTCAAGCACTGCAGCAATGTAGAGGAAATTCGCGTACGTTAATGTTGTTTATTTCTTCAATTTTCAGAAAGCAGCATGTTCATCCTAGCTTCAGATTCCTTTTTGCAGTCACCTTAATTTTAAGCATTATAAAATCATTTAATGCTATGACATTGTTTTATGATTCAACATTCGTTTTAGGAAGCTTATGATGTTGTAAAGAGTCTTCCTCGCCGTGTCAATGATATTATTCACTTCAATGGACTCGAGAAGGACAAGGTATCGTAATTCATTTCAAATCGTTCGGGGTTGTAGATTGTAGGTTCAATTTGGATGGAGTAGCGCTTCTTGCGTGATTTCAGCTTGCTGCTTAGCAATATAGGGCTATAGATAGTAGGGGCGTATTTTGCATAAAAGATTAGGTTTACGTGTTATGATAGACACTCAGTAATTACAAATCAGATGGCTGGCACATCATGTTCTGGTTGATTATTGTTTTTAGCTGGGTGTCGTGGGTCCGTTCGTTATGCAAGATCTACTGACAGTCTGGGAACCGAGAAACTATTTCAACAAGGCCAAGGGGAAGGATCGACAGGTGTTCTTTTATGCAGATCATGCATTAAATCATGATTCTGTTTTTTATTTCAAACTCAGCGGAGCGAATTGGTGAATTATTCAGGTTTTCCTCTTCGAGCAAGCTATAGTTATCGCGAAAAAGGTGGAATTCACGCCGAAGAATGTCAAGTACATAATCAAAGGGAAGCCTATTCCTGTGAGCTCATTTATTTCATTATTTCTTTAGTCTTTTCGTTTTAACGTTTTTATTTTTTTTCTCAAAAAAAATACGGACTAGTGAGAGTCGGGTCGCGGTCGTCCAGCGATTGATACCAATAATCTTCTTTTACCGTTTATGATCTCATTTGTCTATTCTATGTAGAAATAGTGTTCACTTTGTGATGATTTGAAGGGCCGAATGAGTCCGTAAATGGAGGTAAATTTGTGCTTTTGCATTAATGGTGCGGGAATCTCAACATGTTTTTACTCAGCTCACCCATGTTTATTGGTGCCAGATTTGCCAGGCAAAATAAGACTGAGCACGTGCTAACATAGCGACACTGTACAGCATACATATCCTGCTAGTGCCAGCACGTATTATTTCAGGTCGAGGATTGTGCGCTCGCTACCCCAGGCAAGTGATGTGAATGTTGTGCTGACCAGAAGTCGCCTATTCTGGTTGCTGTTCATACGTGCTCAGTATCTTTCTGAAAACTATTGCAGATGATTCGATATATCTCATAAAAATTCTTCTTTCCAACTATCTAACCCCTCAAGGCATTCGTACTCTCTTTTTCACGCTCTTGAAAGCTTTTTCCCACCTTTGAAGGGATTAAGAAGCTACTGGTCCTGGTCTGAATTCCGAATAGATAATGTGTTCTGAAAATAAAAAAAAAACAGATCAACATTGCATTCGCGCTTTTCTTGTAAGCGAACGAAACATCTTGAACTGTTTCTGGAACCCTAATTGTTTATTTTATGAAGTTGTGTTAGACGAATACTCGTTCTATTTTTTTCGTTATTGGGTAGGAATGCATGCACTAACCTGTTCCTAATAATCTTTGTGCAGAATTCGGTTTGTTTTATTGTGTTATGGTAATCATTACAAAAACTTTTATAGCTGGCTGATGTCTCCGTCGTGGAACACGTGGAAGGAGATCCCTGTCGCTTTGGACTTCGTGTTTCGTTTTTTCCTTTTTTTTTGTGCCTGTTTTTACGACTTTTTCTTGTTGAATCTTTATATTTTTTGTACAAAATGTTATTTCAGGTTGGTACGGTCGCCAGTAATGAGAATCGCATCGATTTACGAAGTGCACCGCAGCCAAAGGAAGATGTAAAGATCATGTGGGTGAAGCGGATTCGTGAACTCACCCAGACACTTTTGCCTCTCAGTATGTTTTTTGATCTTATTTTTTTGTTTACCTTCCCGGACTATTTGCACTCACTGCTGACGAGTTCTTTCATTTTGCTGTGGACTATTTATTGAATTTGCTAGCATTTTTCTCCTTTGTCGTTGTCTACAGTGATATGCAATATTTATATGCTTCGTCATCATTGCAATTAACGATTAGTCCAACATTATTTTTACGACGTCTAATGTTTTTAATTTCCAACAATTCAGTTCACCTTTTTTGACTTGGTTTCATTGTCAGATCTGGGAGTGGGATTGGAGGGTGTGCCGTCATCTGGCGGTTCTTCAACGCCAGCGTCTGTCTCGACGCGGTCATCGAATGCGTCGGCTAACTCCGCTGAATATGAATCTCGTGACACTGATGAGACGTCTTCGCTTGAATCGCAACGGTTGTCTCTCCAAAGTGTCGATAGTAATCAGGTACGCTTATATTTTAAACTATTGGTAAATTCCTATGAAAAGTATCCCATTATGTGAGAAAGCTGAACAGTCTTGCTCTGAAGACGATAGGCTTCAAATGAAGTCAAAATAAAATATTCTTGTGAAACCTTATTTATCTCTGCATTTACTTCATTATTTCCATTGCATGCTTGGCATATGATGCTTCTCTGAACTACTCAGTCTACTTTCTATGGTCCTATTTAGGTCTGTCTGTAATCCTTTTTTTCCGTAGCTGTCTTTCTTGCATCACCTCATAACATTATACCCATACTGGACGTAGTATGAAGAGAGGGTCTTGATGTGCTTGCCAAACAGAAATGCCAAGGCTAGATTGCTAATGATGGAAGATCATTGAATTTTTTTTTGTTACTTTTAACATTTTGGACTCAAATATGATGGTATTCACGTTCATTTTTAACGGAAGGCACTTTTTCACGGATCATCTCGATGTCGGTATTGCTCTCTGATAGCGTGAAAAATCACTGGAGAGTTTGAGGGAGGTGGGTATAGTGAAAAGGAGGAACCACCAAAACTCCAAAAGCAAGCGCCTCTTTTCCCGAGCAGTGGATGAGTCTACGAAGAAGAAACATTGCGCATTGAGACCAGAGAACACAGAGACGAGAGAGACGCAGACAACATCGTTTGCACGATTGGCGTGCATCGCGGCTTGCGTGCACTGGTGTAAGCCATTAGCGCATATGCCTGTGTCTCGTATTTAAGTCGCGAAATCGGCACTACCTCTGCGACTGGGATATCGAGCGAACTAATCACGGAATGTGCTTTAAAACGAATCGTGGTCGGAAATACCTAGCGGCTCCGCAGAATTAGAGCTGCTGGCAATCAAGAGGTTCTCTCTGCTCTTTGTGTTCATTAATTCTCATCATAACTAGCTTAATAACATTTGTTCGACTATGAAAAAAAATTAACATCAAGGCAACAAACTCAGATGAAAGGTTGTCGCGGCGAAGAAGTACATCCTGTATTTCTAGGGCTTAAGATAGGTGCAACCCACTAGCAAGTAGCCCGGCACACACGAAACTGCGCTCAGAAGCGCTGCGCCGCGTTCCTTTACAAGTTGGAGCTAATGGAGGCACACATATTAAGATATACTAGCGCCCACAGACACAGCAAAGAACCACAAAAAAAACCCAAAGACAGATACATTAGCTCAATCCCGATAGCACGCGACACAGTTCGATGTAGCGGGCATACGGACGGATAGTCGATAAGAAGAAGTAAATAAGACATGCATCCACTTCCGCAGTTGATGCGGTTGTGTTCAAAAAGGTCTGTAACGTCATCATACAATAGCCAAACCAACTTCTCGCCCACCTTGATTAACGGTCGCTGTCAATTCATGACCTTATGAGTCCGAGACCTCGATGATACTCACACCTCAGTTTTCAAGCATACATCTCTCAGGAAAATATTATCATAAACCAATACCAATATTCAACCAAGATGACCGTCATCTCTCTCCACCATGAAGCTACGAAACTTAAGAACTTAAACGGAGCACCAAAAACTATCCCACTCAGCCCTTTAGCAGAGTCCTTTAATTATGACGCACTCTAAAGCCAAAGTTAACTGACCATCTAAAATGAACCGGCTCAAAATTATTTGAAGGTAGGGTACGCTATATCTATGTTTCGCAGAAGATACAGGTAAGAGCATCACTAATGGACAAGACTTCAATCCCTCAAATCTATCACTGCCAATACACCACAGTGTCCACAGGAAACCCACACTACCTCAAGGGCCAGCGCACTCCAAAAGACTGAAGGCTACTTTGTGGTGCCACTTGCTCGGGTCTTCATCGTCCGGATACGGTCATAAGGTAGCATGAATGATCAAAAAAGTGTCCGAGAAAGATCAGAAAAGATGTAGTAAACCTTTTGATCGCGCGTGTGAAGAGTTCGCTTTACCACTGCAACTGAGCGCGGAAACATGGAAGACCTATAAGTTCGTCATGGTCCGAACAATTATTTGAAGGGTTTTTTTTTTTATTGTATGTCTGGGTCTGAAACAAAAACTGTATGCACAGCTTCCAGAATTAGTGTATTGAAGTTGGCCGTCTGGAGGGAAGTCAGTGTTCACTGACGGGAAAGTACTAGGTAAAAAAGCGCTTGGCTTTTGCTAGTAAACAGCGCACAACACTCAAACCTCCAACAAGGGTACATCATAACAAGACTGCAAAGCCCTCCTGTTTTCTGCAGCACTTCGCATATGAAAGAGCACGCGTGTTGACGCACTTCATATATTCAGATTGCCAATAAATCACAGAACAAGCGCACGCTTGTCAGTTAAGCACATCCACTTATACTCGGATACAGAACACCACTCGCTATGACAATCATCAGCAAGGGAGACCTACAGAACCCGCCCAAGAACCAAACAAGAGCTGAAGCAAGCTGGGTGAAAGCTGCTCGCAAAAGTTTCAATTGCATCAAGCTCGCGCAGGACGATAGTCTGTCGATGAATTGAAGACCAGGCTGACAGCCAATCTCGCATATGGCTAATGATGTGACGAAAACACCAAAATAAGCCGACAGTTCAAAATCGAAATAAACATGACCGAATTAGTCTGACGGTACATGGCTGCCCCTCCCCTCTGCTCCCACAGCCCCGTCAGCGGCCGACTCCTGAGCATGGGATGAGTGCACCTTAGTGCAATTGGAAATCTTCTAAGAAATAGCTCACCACATCCGCTGGATAGTGTACACCACGTGGGGGCGCCGGCCTACTCAACGGGGAGGCCCAAGAAAAAAAAAAAACAAAAGACACTTGTTCTATATATACAACGCAGAACCTAGAGCCACTATAACACTTTACACTTTATCGCACCACTTACAGATCCAGAAAAACTATCGAGCTCATCGCATATTAGAAAGAGAGCACATCTAATCTCACACGATAACAATTACACACTGCGGGATTCTAATCCGGGCACCCAAGACAGCGCATTGCAGAAGCAGTAACCTTTCCCAAACCGAGAAACTTAAACCCGGAAAAGCTCTCTGCCGGTGAAGCAATAATTCAGGAATCCTACCAGAAGTACAGAGTATGATGGCGAGTAATATTATGCCTTTTCCTCAATGGGATATAATCGTGGTCCTCCCAAAAACTATAGATGTAATCCAAATCTAACAAAAATTTCTTAAATCCAAGCAATTTTAACATCCAGTCACTTTATAGGTAAGAAAGGCCGAGTAATTAGGACTGTAGAATCATGTCTGCACCTATTATGACATAGGGCTCTGAACGTAAGGTCGGCCAGGGGTAAGTCAAGAGGTTGTGATGTGACGGAGGAACATCCAGGTCCTGTGCCTTCAGGAGACGCGATGGAAAGGTGCTAAGGCCAGGGAAATCGGGGAAGGTGTCAAACTCTACTACAATGGAGAAGACACCAAGCGGAACGGTGTGGCCATAGCGGTAGCGGAGTCGCTCAAGGACTATGTCTCCGCTGTGAACAGGATCAGCGATCGGATCATGGCTGTGAGGATAGACACGAAGGAGGGGTACTGGTCAATACTCTCCGTGTACGCACCGCAGAGCCGGATGCCCCGAGTGAGAAGGACGAGTTCTACCTGAGCCTTGACGAATGCCATCAGATCGATTCCGGAAGGCGATTACCTGACCATAGCAGGTGATCTGAATGGTCACGTCGGCAGTGACAGAAGAGGCCTGGAAAGGGTGCACGGAGGTAGAGGGATAGGAGTGAGGAACGCCGAGGGAGAGAGGGTTCTGGACCTGGCTACAGCCCACGATCTGGCAATCTGCAGCACGTTCTTCGCGAAAAGGGAGACTCAGAAGGTAACCTACAGCAGTGGAGGGAGACAGACGGAAATCGACCATGTGCTGGTAAGAAGATCATCCCTCAAAACTGTGAAGGACATCAAGGTACTCCTGGCGAAGAACTGGCTCCCAGCACAGGCCCCTCCTGGCAGACATAGCCATAGACCTCCCCAAGAAGACAAGGGTAAGAACCGAGAGGAGAATCCGGTGGTGGAAGTTGCACCAAGCAGAGAAGAGCGACCTCAAACGAAGGATAATGGAAGTTGGTCTCCCAGATCCTAACGGGCCAATACAGCGGACTTGGAGCAACGCGGCTGAGACCATCCTGCGATGTGCCAAGGAGGTACTGGGCGAGACGCGAGGTGGAATCAGAGGGGATAAGGCAGTATGCTTCCGGAACAGGAAGTCGAGCGAGCTCTGGAACGAGGAAGTCCAGCGAACCGTGAGGAAGAAAGAAGCATACAAGGCTACCAGAAGACACGCCCCAGAGCCTCGCTCTCTATAAGAGTCGCAAGAAGTTTGCCAAGGCAGAGAATACAGAAATGGACGGCTTGTACGAGAAGCTAGAGAGCCAAAATGCAGAGAAGTTCGTCTTACAGACTGGCCAAAGCCCGGCATCGGGCTTCAAGATATTAGGGTGGTGAAGTGTGAAGAGCAGTAACGGCGCCATCTTGGCGAAGCAACTGAAGTCAAGAGGAGATAGGAATAGTACAGGGCACTTCTGAGCGAGTAGTTACCCACGAGGACACTCCAACAAGCAAAAGAGTAACGCGTGGCTGCATGCTCAGCCTTTGGCAGAGGAATTGAGCTCCGTAGCGAAGTAGGAAAGATGAAGGTTG